TTATTTTAAGAACGAGTGTTAATTACAAACACCCAGTTGAAGATTCATAAGCATATATAAAATTCATAATGAAATCGTTTGACAATGTAAGCAAACATCATAATAAATTTCAGCAAAAGAAAGACATTACCGAACATCTTCTTCATCGTCACATCGTATCACACGTCCAGACTAGAGCAAAAAAAACGGACTCAGCTTAAAATTATAAAGACAAGACTAGCATCAACAATTAAAAAAATGCTCTCGATCTGCCTTATCCATTCTTAGGTAATAATATAGTGCTTTCGACTGCAATCATAAATATCATATTGTATGGTCTAGAGGGTAAATAAACTATTTATTCAAAATACGATTGTGCTTGCAGAATTTAAGATGGTTCAAAATTACTTTTGACCATATAGCAATAGGTCATTGGTCAGAGGTAAAAAACTACCCATTCGCTAAATACGAACTGACTGGACAGCGTTGTAAATCAGACGCCATTAAACAATTCAGTAAACGATGTTAGAAAACAAAAACTCATTTCATAACTGGTACAAATACGTTGAAGTATATAGCTAAGATAGGAATGCCAGTGGCTTAGCAAAGTGAAATAAAGCAAAATTCAGAAAATGAACTTACTTGGTTGCGAGTGATCACTATTTTCGGCATTTCATCTCGGTTAGCGGTGGCGCCCTTTTCAGCTTTTTTCTGAATGTTTTATAATGTCATGAGTGAGCAAAAAGTAGAAAACAGATGTCGGGCGATCAGGCCGATTATACAAAAAGATGGATATTGGCCCTCTGATGTTGCCCACATGAAAGATGCTGGTCAATCCGATGATCAAAAGGTAGATATATTCATAAGTCCAAACCCCATTATTCGTGCGGGCCCCATAAATAATAAAATCAATCTGATCAACATCATATATAATTTAGGTAGAGCCTGAAAAAACAATGGATCGATGGAGAATATGAATGAATCCACTTTTTCACAACCCATGATATGTGCAGTTTATATAAAACCCCAAAATTTACAGAAAAATTCCAATAAAAAGTTTAGTTTTATTTTAGCCACTAAATATATCCATGACAGCCCCAAAATCTGCAAGCTGAAAAAAGAGAGGATAAGTGTAATAAACACCTGTAAGTTTTAATTAGTTCCTTTTCTGTAAAAGTGCATTCATATTTTATCCCATTTTGAATAACCAAACCCATTCCGTATAATTGTAATGATAAATCTATGACTATGGAATTCCAAGATTGCGATGTTTAGTATATTTCGGAAGATGCACCGGCAGGATCTAGAAAATAAAACCGGTCTCATATATTTATGGGATGTTAGAATGCCTAATAAAATCTAAGGAAATATGATAAATGTTGCATTTTGTTATTAAAGAAAATAATTACCTCATCTCTGTATCTCTCTGCTGATGATCCCTTATGATCTGAAAAAAGAAAGATTAAGGAATTGATAAGCATAAGCGCAGACATGAATACTTTTGCTCATGATTCGTTAAATATCAAGATTGATTGCATGAGATAGTTAAATTCACCTGGAGAATAAAATCCTGCTGGACTACTGCGTCTGCTATTTGAACCGTCCTGTGGTTGCTGTTGACGTTCAGACTCCTTGGCCCTGCGACGATTTCTATCCTGTTCCACTAACTGTTCTAGTGCAGCTCGACTGCGTTCCATGTGAGATGCAACTGGATTCACTGCCCGTAATGGCCCAGTCCCTGTTCCAGCCCCACTCCTGTTTAATTGATGCAAAACATGGGCCTCGTCCGATTCTGGTGAGCGGACTGGGTGCCCACGAAGAGAAGTACGATTAGCTGGTGAGGGACTGCGTGACCAGGCACGCTGAACGGAGACAATATTGTGAAGCGATCAAGCAATAGTGAAGATCTTAATAGCTAATTTAAATAATCTACCCTTAGAATCCAGATTAACAATATCCCGTAACTAAAGAAATGCTAGATTAAAACTCATTTGAAGACCATTTAAAATAAAAAATTGTATTTCATTCAATCTAAAAATATGTATAATATTATACGCTACGAATTTTATTTATTTTAACATAACATAGCCGATCGTTCTTGTTGTATAGAATCAAACATAGAAACCTTTTATAAAATTACTTGGATGTATGAAGTCAAGATTGACTAAATTGAGAGATAAAACCGGACGTCCATTGCTTCTTATTTAGGGGTGCCATTTGGAGCAGCCTCTATTCACTTATAATTTCAACTTATATCTTGAGGATGCAAAAACCAGATCGAAAGATTAGAATATTTGCTATAGTATATTTTTTTAATTTTTAACACAAAATTTGTCTACTCTAACTCTAAAACTAAATTGTGAAACAAGCAGAAGCCAGTCGTTGAAATTCGCTAAGTGTTGTGTTGATAATGCGTCAGACAGAAGTTGAAGAAATTATGGAAAATTCACTTCACTTCATCTGTCACGTTAGGACATCAACTTAGGCTAATTTTAAGATGGAAAAAGGTCTGCTGTTTGCTTGATTTCTCTATTTTATATTTCCTAAATACTTTTTTGGTGGGGTCTAGATCCCAAGTCCAGGGTGGATATAAAATAAGCCGTGCATTTTTGAAAAAAGTGAGACAATGAAGAGCACGTCACTTATTCGAGTGCATTTTAAAGCGATGTTACGCTCATTCATAGACTTGGTATTAGGGATAGACAGGATAGACGAGGCGGAGACTAGAGCTAGTGAGCTGACAGTAGGCCCGTTTTACCATAGACGTGGTTCATGTAGCAAGGGCATGACCATGAGACTTACTATGAGGCTTTAGCCTCTAATCAATCACCCAGGTGCAGGGGATGGACGAATTACGCCTCGAGTCGCACAGATGGGGGGGCGGGGTTCGAGTGAAATTCATGTACCAGGGAGATAGCAGACGGATTCTAAGGGGCAAAAGGGAGACTCTAATGGGACCCAGGGAAGGAATACGTATTAATATGACAAACTCTGGTCAACATTCCCAGCACAAGGGTTAAGGGGGTGAGAACGATAGCGTGGAGTGTGAAGGGTTTTCATGAATGCCACTCGAAGGAGCACACCACACTAGATTAAAAATAAGCATGGTAAAAATTGTGACAGGAAAGCGTGATAGGAGAATATAGGAAATGTGAATATACCAGGGCAGAAAAGGAGATACCACAACTGTTTAGCACACGTTCGGTCAAAGGATCGGCTTCACTTGTCTCTTTGACGAGTTGTAATATGATGCTACAAATGGCCAGGCTCACTGACGATGCCGGCGAAACGTCTGGGAATGTACCACGTCCATGGTCCTACTCTGGAAATGATGATG